ATTCCGTTCTTTTGTTTTGATTGCTGTCACTGCAGAAAACTCCACATAGATAAGATATCGAAAATGGCAATAGGGATTTAAGTGCTGTGGTGGCAGTCTGAGGGTTTTTCGCCACCACTTTAATCCAGGACACCGGCAGAGTTATTGTCTCGAGCGTACTTTTAAGGCCGCCGTCATTTGCATTCTCCAGCAGTTGATCTTCTTCTGACACAAACATGCTAGATTCGCCTGGTTTGTTGGGTCGTGGATCCCTTCTTTACTCGTCATTGGGTCTTTTGTTGTTGGTAAGTGTTGTAAAACTTCTACTTTACCTCTGCTCTCTGCCACTGACGACTGTTGTACGGTTGCTAGCTGCCCTATGAGACTGCAACTGTCTGACTTCTCAGTCACGCGCCAACCCAACCTACGGAATACAGAAGACCAAGGCTCTGTGAACAGGGAGTCTATCTGCACCATAAGTTAACTGTATTTATAGGTAGCCGAAACATGCTAATTTAGGAGATCAAGATCGCTCATTTTTGTGCGTCCGGTTTTCAGCCAGTGTGAGTTCCAATCCCCGGGTTTATCATCTTGACGGTATAGTTCGATTCGTTTTACGCTGACTGGTAATTGCTGGCCGATCAATTCTCAGTCGATACCCAACTTTAGCTTTTCTTACATCTTTATTAGTAAGCAGCGCTCGAAGTCTTTTAGATACAAACACTGGTGATCGTACACCAACTGGGAGGATGAAAGCTCAGTATCAGTCTTGCCTGAAATTCTTGACAATGTTTGAAATATACCTCTGTTCACGCGCCCTCCCCACAACTTCAGTTTGGTTTCAAATGCAGCTGCTTTGTCTGCCACCTTTAAAAGCAGTTTTCAGTTTCCCTGAAGGGATAGAGTGAGTTCATCGCGTAGGCTGAATATGTCACACATTTAAGCCAATTTAGCGACCTATTGAAATGTGCTGCCAGTGGTAACTTCTTTTCTGAGAGAAATTTTTGCAGTGGCTCTCGTAATTCAAATACTCTGGTTAGCGATTTTCCTCTGGATAACCAACTTATTTCTGTGTACAATAGAAGGCATCTGTGCTCTGCATCCATCTCCTCACATAGCTGCTCAGACAGGCGGAAGTCAGAGGTGTGTGCTTTGATGTGGTTACTAACTTTAACGACATCAATCAATACGCCGTCAAATTCCGGTGACATTTTTCAGCTTACTAACGTTTCCTTGTGAATGATACACTGCGTAGATTCACGCTCATTTGCAACCTTAGTCCGAGCAGTTAAAGCAGATTTCTCGTCCGATCATAGCAGCAGCTGCGGCTGTGTATATGCCGGCATAAAAGGACCATTTTATTTGCCGTGGTATATAAAAATCCAGTGACTCGAACGGTTCTGCTCCTGTGGTGTTGGTTGGCAAAGATAGTGCGCATACCGTTCTCATGCAAATCCTCCCGATAAAGATATCGCACCTAAACAAGTAGAATTGCCTTGTTTTCGGTAACTGAGGTCCATTCAACCTGGAGTGCGTACCACGGTGATATTTTAATCCTCTCCAACAATTGTGTCACAATATCTTCGGCTATTTCCTCAATTCGCCTAATCACAAAGACACATGTGCCATCTTTTTAACAGCATCCTCTCTTAGATGTTCACGGCAAACGTCTCTAGTGAAGGACAAGATCAGTTCTTCACCGATATTGAATGGCTTTTTAGTCTTAGCAATACGGTTATCCACCAAATATGGTGCTCTCAGTGCATTCTCCTTTATTGATGTGGTGACCCTCAGAAGTTGCTCCTGTCCTTCATGTTCCCGTTCTTTCAAAATACCTTGGTGCTTTTCTTTTAAACCAGGGTGCTTGGCGTTCAAGTGGTGAAGCAGATTTTAGCTTTCATTGCATCATTAGAGAGCCGGTCGCCGCAAACTCTGCAAAGCGTGGTTCGTGTGTGGGAACCACCTGTCCCGATAAATACATACTTCAAGTAGGGCTCATGGTATTGACTGATAATGTTTTATGTTTCCTTGATGACGGAAGCCTCTTCTTCCGTCGCACACTTTGCCTTTCCTTTTTCCCAAGGAAACTTCCTAACGACGTCTGTTTCCTTCTCGTATTTGCTAATTTGTAGGTTAAATTTCAGCGCCCAAGTGACCAAGATGTAATTTGGAAAATAAAAGATCGTTAAACTCAGATAGTAAATGTGGACGAAAAAGGACACAAATAAGACACAATATACGCTTACACCACGCGCTGTTAAACTTGAGTAAGTACCGGTGAGCAGTGTGAAGTGCGATACATACCTCTCCACGAAAACTACAACGCCACTGCCGCTCAGCTCCCGGTTAACCTCTCGTCCATGGAAAGTCGCACAATCCCGAGAGAAATACACCACAGTAAATAAAATGTAAATAATTTAATGTTTCTTGAGCGGCCCGGTACCATTTGATCCACGGACCGACACCGGTCCGCTTCCCGGTGGTTGGGGGCCACGGACTTAAAGCACCATGGAACCTCGAATTGACTTCGGGGAGTTGCTTCGCCCTCTGTGTCAGATACGGGTTTCCGTTGGTTTTTTTTGCTTGTTTGGTAATTAGGACCTTCGCGAAGGCCGTGCTATGAATCCGAAGTCCTTTTAGCACCCTAATTCTTGTGAATAACGTTCACCGTTCTCCAACGGTAACCGTCGCCTCTGTACGCATGCTAGCATGAGCGGAACTCCTGAGGCCGTGTAAGCGTCTACGGGAAACTATATCCTGAGTGCCCTCTGGTGGTCCAATCTCTGAAGGGGCTACTCCGCGTATCAGCAAGGTCCGCGTGGCTTTGCAGCGGCTCAACTGTCTATGGAGTCGGTGATAAGACCGGTCTTACTGTGTGCATCAGTGACCTAGTACTTCCTCGGCGAAGACATAAAACACCTGACCGTGTTTCACCACCGATGCTTGTGAAGTATTGATCACTTCTGGTGAGAACATGAGGGGAGCAATGTTGTTTTCCGCCGGTTGGTTTTTGGCAAGAAGCCTTCTGATTCCTCAATCGAGTATTTGCTACATCTTAGTCGCTTGCGTTGGCTATACCATGTTCTCCGTACGCCCATTGGTCGGATTCTTCGGTCTGCATTATACGCCGTGGATGCACCAAGTTGGGCGAAAACGCAAGGGGCCAGTCCATGACTGGACATCGAGGCACGAAGAAAGTGACCGAGAGACTTTGTCAGGCTGGTGCGTGCCGTCTCCGTGGATGGGGGCCTTGGGATGGTCCATACCAACGGTTGCAGACCATGTCGGATACGGCGCAGTCATGAAGTCAGTGACGTTCCTGCATTCGGTTTCTTTATTCTGGTTGTTAATTTTCGCTCCATTCTGATTAGTCCAACGCATTTGCTTCTTGCTTTTATTCTCTCTACGTCCTATTCGCACCCAAACCCACTGTCCTACCGCTGTTATTTATAGTTATTCTTACGGTGAGAGTCACGGACACTGGATCCACCGCACTTAGGTGCTCGGCTCATAGTTGTCCAACTGAACTGAACATGAGCGAATTTGATTATTCTATGCCCCGAAGATCCACAGTTAACAAGACTTTTACGGGTAACTTTATTAGCATTTGAACCGGAATTCGTTGCAGATCAGTACTGATCACTACGTACTTGGTCAGCATGGTAGTGTGAATGTTGCGTATTGGATTAATCAGAAGCGAGTAAAATGCACCAAAACGAATCAACAGGAGATGGATTTTTTACTTTTGAAAACTACAATAGACATGTTTGATAAAATCTCGAAAACGACCGTTTTTCAGGTAGCTAAATTCCCTAACGATCCGCTCTCATGCATCTTGACCACCTTAAGCAACGAAATCAGGTGCCTTCAGGTTTTAAACCACCATTACATTCGAGGTATTTATCGCTCTAGGTGGCACGCGCATACCAACAGCGTAGTGCACAGACGATTGTCTGGTCAGCTCTCTCGCTGCGTTGGCATACACCCACTCACCGTCTTCCAAAAGTGCCATTTTTGTTTACCCGGTGTTGAATGGAGGGGGGCGAGGTCCGAAGGAGAGCAAATGAAGTCCATGACTATTGGCTTTAGTGTGGCTGATTCGCCATCTGCTAGGCTAGGATTCATTCGATGCGCCACGCAACCGGTACCATGCACATTTCTACTGTCACATTCTAGCAAACAACTTGTCCAAAGTGGGTGAGGTGCGGAGTAATGAAAGCCACCAGGTGCTGCTGTCGCTTCATTTTCATTCTATAGCTAGCTGTTTTTGTGTTGGAACGCTGTATACGTCTTGATCTAAAATGCCTGCTTTTTCCATTCCTGTCTTGTATTAGGTCACCCTATCACCCCCTTCTTACTCTTTCCCAATATGCTTATCTATCATTTTAATGTTGTATGGCTTCGACGGCTGAGAACCAATCTCATTACAGCATAATATACTCGCGAGTTCGCTCAACCAGTACGACCGTCGCATTATATAATGGTTCAACCTATTCCACTCGTAATGGGAAATCTCTACTATTCTTACAGAGGACCAAGGGAAATATCCGCTTAAATTTCTTCTTGGTGAGGTACGCCCATCTGTGAAATAAACTACCGTTGCAATTCAGCACTTGCGGAAGCTTGTACATTTAAAAAACTAATTTAAGAACATTCCCTTGCCAGATGTGGTCAAACTTTTTGCTCTACAGCAATCCACGAGCGCCCTCATAGAATCTGGCCCGAACAACATATTACAATATTAGCTAACAAATAATGTTTCTTATTACATACGCAGCACAACCTTGCATAACGCTTCCACATTGAATGGAGTTTATACATGAACAAATAACAAACCTCACTGTACAAATGATCGTTCTACAAAATGGAATAAATCTCGCCGATCGGGAAATATACCCATTTTTTGTTTGATTATTTTTTACAAGGTATCGATGAACTGCTTTTGTTGATTAGGATGTTGGCTACAGTGGCAGTCTTATCGATAACTTTCCTTCATTTACTTATCCCCCTTCTTTTTTTAGGCTCCAGAGCCTCCATACTCTCTATTTCCAACTGGCTCGCAATCTTGTCCCCGTTCAGTTATCTTCCGACCTCCTCTCTTTGCTGCTTTTCAACCCTTTCCGTTCGTTCGACTAGGTCGTTGGCTTCTTTAGCCTATATGGCTATGAACGGGCCACATCAGCACAAACGCCCACCCAACAAGCCCATGAATCAGAGACCGTTTATGAAAGCCCTCGTGTTAAAATGCCTGATTCGTAAACCCAAAAAGCCCAACAGTGCCAATCGCAAATGCGTTCGGGTACGCTTGAGTGACGGCCGTGAAGTGGTAGCTCATGTTCCAGGAGAGGGGCACAATCTGCAAGAGCACAACGTGGTCCTCATTCGTGGTGGTCGCACTCAAGATCTGATCGGAGTGAAGCATAAAGTAGTTCGTGGTATATTCGATTGTGCACCTGTCCAAAAACCGACGCCGAAATAATCAGCCTTTCTTTTCGATGCGCCGTTTACCTTCGTTTCTCGAGAATATACTCTCTTATACAGCCACACCACTCTTTTTCTTTGACTCATAAGTATATTCCTCTGCCTTTCGAAATCTCTGCCACGCACTTCATTTTTGCTGGGAAATCATCATCATCAATCCACATTAGCTGAGGGTGAAAAACACGTCTCCGCTAATGTGCCGCAATACAAAAGATAAGATACTAAAAATAACACTGCAAAAAAGTCAAAATATCAACTAATATAGTGGTAAATATCATATTATGAATTTGCTAGTAGAGCGTGATTGGAGGGGAACCTAAAGGGAGAGGGTTTAGACAATGAAACTCGATACAAACGCCATTGGGGCCGGCTCCTAGTCACGTCAGCTAGTGTGTGCAACCAAAGGTGTTCGTCGTCTTTCGGACTCCAGCCCGGCAGTCGGGATGCACCAACCGACACCAACTTCGAAGTGAGGGACTTCATTCCTCTTGACTAAGTCATTGCTTGGTCTATCCTCCTTCTCTTTTATCCAGACCTCGGGTGCGCAGACAACCCACGATGTGGGAGTCGGTGTGCTGGCATGCGCAACACGTGGCCCAGCCTTCGGAGCATGATGCGTGATATAACTGTGCTGAACGGATTACTCGCTCTTCCTGCGCCAAATGCGCGACGCCGAACACTCATTGCTCACGCTGTGCTCCCACCAGATATGAGCTAAGCTGCGAAAGCAAAGATGGTCGAACCTGACTAGCCACTTTATGTCTGAAGGGCCAGGTTTCACAACCATGGGCTGCATTATGAAATCTGCCTTTCATGGCTAGAGTGATGTCGCGTCGGCGCCACAGGTGGCGAAGATTGACTAAAGCACCTCGAGCTTTTGCTATACGGTCAGTAACTTCATGTTCGATCCCACGGGCGCTAATATAGCTGCCCAGGTACTTGAATTCAGCTAGAAAGCTGATCGCCACCGAGGCTAAGCGCAGGGGCAGGTTCCTGCCAGTCTTGGAGAAGGATTTTGCATTTCGATGGAGCAAAACATAGCCCAAAAAAATTGACAAACATGTCTAATCTGTCCATTGCTGCTTGACTCATTTTGGTAATGATCACGGATTAGGAAAATGTCGTCAGCATACTCCAAGTCAAGCAGTCGCTCACCAGGGAGCAGCTCCACATCTTCTAACTCGTGTCCAGCGAACGCTGTTTTCATGACTTCGTCAGTAGCGAGGTTAAAGAGGAAAGGTGACAGCGGGTAACCTTGCTGGACAAAGGTAGGACAAGTATTCACGGGATATTCAACGAGAAAATCTTTTACCTTACTTGTGAGTAACAGGATTTTAGTTGTAATTTTAAGCTATTCATCTGTCGAGGAACGAAGCACTGTAACTCAAAGGATACTTAGCCTTCCACCTCTTCATAATACAAGCAAGACCCATCCACGTTACGATTAGCCTCTACAAACTGTCATGTTGTCCAATTCCCTGTTCCTAAACCATAACAACCGCGAGGCTCACGCGTCGATAAGGCTGTATGGAGATTTTGACAGTTAGCCTTGATGCAGCCGAACGTTAGTGAGCGCAGCTCACCATTTCAGGTGGAAACTGTGATCGCATACTGAGGTGGTGTAACCTAGCAAAATGACACCGTAACCGTTGGCACTTATTGGGTTGACTCATGTCTGCGCGCCTTTTCAAATTCGGCCTAACTACAGGTTAGCTTATTTGGTGAACTGTCGGGCATTTCAATGGCTCCTAATTGACTGTCACTGTTATGATCGTAAAGTTGGAGCGGCATCCTGAGCATACCTGCTAATTATTCTCTAGCTGATGTTTGCCCACATTTTATTTGGTTTCCTATTCAGCTTGTCAACATTTTCGTGACGTTATCAGTGCCTCTTTTTAAACATACCGAGTCCATCTTAAAGCGTGATGGATTGCCTGATAATACCTGTATATCGGAGCGGTCTAGTAACCCGCTGTTTTTCTAGTATCCCAACTTAATCCAATGATTCTAAACGGGAAATTGTATTCTCCCTCTTTAGTCGTTTCTCCCCCAACAATGTTCAAAGCGTAATTCGCGCAGTTGAAACATCAGTATAATTTTGACATAAGCATATGGTACCCAGTTTCATCTCCGTTCCCCAGGGCTCTAGTGCACTGAAGCGCAGTGAATCCAGTTATTCTGGCTCATGTTGCTACAAAATTATCAGGCACAAACTTCAGAAAAGATTAATCTAACAGTCAGATGAGGGTCTCATGAGGTCGCAGCGCTACCCATAACTTCGGGAATACGCCACACCCGATAGAGTATTTAGCCAGTTATGTGGCAGATCCAGTGGCTCTCAACCAGGGGTATGAAAGATATAACCTCGATTAAATCTTCACACTTCTTGACTATTCCATTCGGTGAGTAGCCGGGGTTTCATCCAATTAAGTGCAGCAACGGCGATTGTTACACGCTGGGGTTGATGGTCAGCATGCAGCCCGGAAACAAACATTCCACTTCAAGGTGAATCACGGTCTACATTGAGACGGCGCGTCGCAATCAAACCACACAACTTTTACTTCAAAATAACCCTCCAATCAGTCATTAACCGTTATACCAAGCGTTGCCCGTCGTGGCTCGATAGTTTAAGGGTATAGTTCCCCACTAGCATCCCAGTGGTCCAGGGCTCGATCCCTGCTATATCTGCCTTATGAGCCGAAACCAGGTCGAGACACATCGTGGAGTGCACTGTTTTCGGGCAGGTAAAATCCAATTTCCTGCTTCATCAGCTACGATCCTAGTGATCGAATTACCCAACATTTACTTCAATGTGAATCGCGGTTCACATTGAGATTGCGCGCCGCAATCCAATCACAACGTGTTCTACCAAATGACGCCCCAACCATTCAATGACATTACTAGAGAATTTGTTATTAAGCCCCTTCAGCTGTGGACGACTATTCGCAGATATCAGTTTTCTGAAACTTACGATAACCGTTGAACTGCCGGTGTATAATAGATGTGAGCGCCTCATGGGTACTTACATTCACAGTAGCTGAGGTGTTTTCCATCTCTAGCTATGGTGTATACTGTGGATGATGATGACATTCATGTTAATATCTCAATGACTTCCCTAAGGCACCTTTTCGTTGTTTCTAATAATGCTAATAACTGTGGTTAATTACCGTTACCGTAAGTGGGGGCTACACCTGTTCCCTGCAGTTCGCCATTATGTCAGCCACGGTGAAGAACCATTCTTGGAATATGATGCACCTCGACTCATGACTTATCCAGTTTGTGTACAATGTAACCCATTGACATGTTTGCGTTTGGAAACGCTTTTTAGCTACACCGGAAAAACGCGACTAATACTCTTGAAACAGATTATCCATGTTAGGCGACTGTCACTAGGTGGAGGTAGGCAGGTATCAACAGTACCGATGCCTCACCATGCAACCAAAACGGTTTTGCGAAGGCCGAGATACTTTAGGGGGCGTCCATGCCCATGCAGAATCGGTGACTTACATTTGAGACGTAGTGGTTGCATGCTAACCACCTGGTTATTGTGATGCTACCGGTGCAGATGACAGCTTCGATAGAGCCGCGGCTACCGTCAGTTTCCTTGTCGACTATGGGTGCAAGAAAAACGCACGGATTCATACGTCATTAAGCTGAACAGTGACAGTACTAGCCTTTTGATTCACAATGAAGAACACCACCTGGCTTGTTGTGCAGAGCACTTTCACGAGCAATTCACTCTAGCTTCTGAATTGCTTCGTTTTTAGGTGGTTCAGGTCTAACCTGGACCAGTCTAGAGTCTGTAACCGAAGCTGAGGCACGAAACGCTATCACATATCCAAACCGCTTCCGCTCTGTTGATTCGAATTCTCCAGTGCCCTCGCTGTTTCAGGATGGTGATGAGATTCTCTACACAGCATTGACCCACCTGCTTGGGCAGAGTGGAGATACCGTCGTAGTCAGGTGGTTTTTTACTTACCTACATCAGAATCGAGAACGTCGCTTGTTTCCATGCGCATCAATGATGGCGTCTACGGATGCATCCTAGACACACATGCGGGCAGTGTGAGTGCAACATGTTCTGTCTAGTTGGCTGATTCACCTTCGTGGGACAAATCGTTATTCCATCGAATACTGGTTTATGCACAAACAACGTCGGTATTCTTTGCGATACGGATTAGGGATTGGTTTCCGATGGGATTCCTCTTTTCTAATTTCCGGGCTGCATTGTATTGGGGTACACCTTCGAGACGACGAATAGCTACGCTACTTCTAGCCATTACTTATTATGATGGCGCTTCGGAGTCGGCGTACACTTACGTGTGCTTTAAGGCGAGTCATGTGAGCCTCGTCTTTGGCTTCACTTTTGTGACATCTGACACTAGGATTCACGAGAATTTCGGGGGCTAATTTCCCACCCGGTCTGTCAGTTTACGATCGTTGATGGTTCCATGTGCAGTTAACTTCTTGTCTTGAACCTATAACTTTCGAGAGTTTTCTACGCAATTCCATAGGGATATATTCTCTGTCGGCGTTTGGTCCATAACAATGTCTCTATTGCGATATTTTCTCCTTTTTTAACAGCTTCACAATGGAGAATCCAGTGTCCGACTTTGGATCGGTAAAACAGCTCCCACAAATAACGGATTCCTCACCCCCAACTCTTCCATTACCCATCCCCCCGGATATACCAAGAGATAGGTTCCAAGGGCTTCGTTCCATATTAACCGTTTGGCTTTTGCTGCTGTCTGCCTATCTTGGTAGCATTTTTCTCCAAGGCCCTTTAGTACCTTTGGCGATATTTGCACCAAAGCTTTTTCGTCGGTTCGTGGATTACTCCATGAACTCCTGGTTCATGTTCACCGAGGTGGGTTGTCTGGATCAGTACTCCTTCCCCAAATCAATCATAACACCTGTCGCCCAAACTTTATCCTGTTTTTCTTCTATTTGTAGTTTCTGCTTTTACAACTCATGCAAGTTCGTGCCCGTCATTTTGGGGATTCGTTTCTGCAAACTGATGCAAAACACTCCACTTTACTTTTGATGAATCATCGGACACAGCTGGACTGGTTATTCTCATGGGGCTTGGGACAGACGATGCAGAAGATGAAGATTGTCCTCAAAGAGTCAATGGCGAAAATCCCAGGGGCTGGTTGGGCGATGCAGTGTGCCTCGTTTATTTTTCTGCGACGCCAGATGGCGACAGACCAGGAGAGAATTGAAAGAACGCTTACTTATCTAATTAATACCGGAGGGGAACTTAATGTAAGCTTAGTGTTTTGCTTTTATTGCACGAACTAAAATCCTCATCATTCTACCCCTTCATGCACCCTTCAGTATCTCACTGTAACGAGCATATCGATTGTTTGCGCTGGCTTACCATTTTACTGTGTGCTCAGATGAGAGCTCATCCCCTAAGTTTTACAGTCGGAATTGCGGTGGCATTCGCTTCGGTGCAAGGTGCTTATCTTGCAGATCGCTACCAAGCTCTCATTGCTTTTCGATTAAGATCCCAAGCCCAAGTCATTGATTGAGGCCCCTTATCGTTCTGCTACATGTATTTTTAGATTCTGTCAAACTATGCAGATGTGTCAAAACGCAGTATCAACCTACAGTACAATGTGCAGAAAGCAAACTGATGTGTGTGCATTTATAACCCGAGCAACTTGTCGCACATAGTGCTACCGACCAGCATGATAGCTACACTGTTATGAACCGGATTAAGATAAACTTGTAAGGAATGAAACAACAAAAGTTGCGCACGTATACATTGGCAGAGGATTAATTGATCTCATCTGTATGCATAGTAAAAGTCAAAATCACTGGAAAAACAGGATACGTGGGCTGAAATGTTTACTGTTAGTAAAATCAGCGGATCAACCTGTGACTAGCCATTTCTCTGAAACGTATGTTTTATCGATCGCCAAATCAGCCTGCTTTTCTTTCAAGGGTGGTCTATAATTATAATAGAAGCGCAGTCTAACTTGTCAGAAAATATATTCAATCGCATTTCTAGAAGTTAACCCACTAGGCGTTAAGATTGGTATATATCTTAGCACTTCTCAGCGCCTCACAAATTCGTTTTTAACACAATTAATAGTCACTATTACACTGAAATACGATGTCGCGGCCACCTGCAGACAGGGGACATGAGCTCCTGTCAAGAACCTTCCAATTCGAAGAATTTATTACTCAACAAACTTTGTGAATCTTATGTGCAACGGACTGGGGCGGGAGCCACCCCACTATATTGAGTACGTCCAATCTTGGCTGTCGTTTTACCCGAGGACCTCAATATATTTGTACCGAAGAAATGGAACTCGCACAAGAAGCTTTTCAGCATATGCTAACAGTTGTACGTGATGTGTGACTTTTACGTAAATATACCACAGCATGTTGTATAAATGGCTTCTACGGGTTTGCACGATGCTAAGTGTCAGCTTACACATATTTTTGTACCTTGACAAAACCCCTGCCCAAAACGACTGTCTGTTACACTAACCTTTGGCGTCTTCCTGAGTTGGTCGTTGCGCATTTTCAAAAGGCGGTCCATCAGGGTAAACGAATGAAAATGAGCTGTTGTTTTCCGTCTCCTTTCTCTATGCATTTCTTTTTGATATCTCGATCCTCATTATTCATCCCACTTCTATAGCGTAAACGACGACGGCTGCGGCACTGTTTTACGCTATACCCTATGCTTATGCGGCTTTGTAACACTGGACAGTCTGTCCCCAATAACCGCTCATTATACTACGCTGTTAGACTAACTCGCCTGCGCTCAGTGCTCATACACTGAGACAGATAAGCCAACAAACTGCATTTGAACGCCCACTGGATACCCCAGGTGTTGACACATACTGCGTCTCCGAACTTATTACCCACGACTCTCGGCTGTTATCAGGCTACCGTCGCCTAACTTGTCACCTCATTGCAGAAACAACAAGCCAGCCTGGGGTCAACCTCATGCTCAGCTCTAACGCTAAATCCTGGCCGATTATTTGAATTCCCATGAACAACCTTCTTTATGCAACCTGTATGACAACGTCAACTAACTTGAGCATATGAAACCTCTAGGCTCTGCTTCTTCGTGATTGCCATCCATACTTCCATTGCCTGTAGTCCCCATACTGCCATCCATTTCTCCTAACGCGAACTAAGCGATGAACAATGTAATACTTCCAAACCCACTTATATGCATCTGTTTCTACTTCTACCCTTATCGGTGGGAAGCCATTGAGCTGGGTGTCTACATAGGACATGGGAGCACTGCTTAGGACTCATTTGTCTTATCTAACTGCCTTCTTGATTTCACCGGCGCATGGTGGTAACACTGCGAGCAAGACGGAGGTATACATGGGGCAAAATATCATTGCGGAATAAAAATTCTTGGGGAGGACCAAGTTTTCAGACCTACCAATGCACTCGTGTTTATTCATGGCATGGGTGATCTTCCAGTGCGGTAAAATAAAGCAGATGTAGTACACGAAGATATTCTACATGGGACCCAGCCGTCTGATTTGCCAACACGCTTATGCACCAATTCGTCATCTGTGAAACAGGTTCATCATTATACACGTTAGGTAAAGGTGGAAACAACTCAGCTACTGTGCCGCAGAAAGACAGGTTAGAGGACTAATTGCAAATAAGGGAGTACCACTGTTTTCTATCTGCCTGTCTTTCTTTTGGCTTTTTCGATGTAGTTGCTACCTGTTTTTGTTCCCTCCGGGAACAATTCATAGGGCGGGTTTTCTAATGAGAGTATAGTCAAAGTTAGGTAACTTTCAGGTTTCGCGCAGGGTCATTGAATTTTCGCACCTCATCTCAGACTAGGAAGGAGTCGGAGCGCACATTTATTCCCGTGTTTGACGCAACCAGTGGAGTTGCGTCACAGTTCTGCTGCAGGCAGATTGGAGTATGCCTTTTTGTTTGCCACTTCAATGGTCACAACCAGAGTGTTTCAATCTGAAGTCACTGGTCACTGTCAGCTGGTGGCTGATTGCAGCGTACCGCGTTGTGTTTTTTTCTTATTACTGTAACGGCCTGATGATAATAATGGAAAACAGATCTCTTTACTATTTGGACTTCCATCATTTTCGTCAGCTTCTTGTAAGGCGCTTGGCCGAAAATATAAGCGCTGTCAACAGGTTCCGAAATTCTATATGACAGTCAGCGTTCACTTCTCAGCACCATGTTTTTCTTACCCCTTCTGTTGTCCAACTGTTATACTAAATGCACCAGGGTGTTATGGCCAACTCGTCACTTTTTGTAATGTTGAAAGTAGCGGTCAACAAAATCTGGCCCGTTGTAAACTTTCTTCGGTGACCCCGCTTCGAATTGTATGTGACTCGACACTTCTCAATCACATGTTCGGTCATGCCGAGCATGACAGCTAGGTCTGTGGGCTGCACTCTTTCTTACATATTGTGTCGTGGTCACGGATGCTTCATTGAACAATGACTGTCAACTAAATGGTTCGTGCTCCCATCCTTGTCCAGCCAGACGGGGTTCTCGCCTGAACCGAAACTTACTGCTAATGTATATGTTCTACTCATTTGGCGCCTATCGTTTTCGTTTTTCTAAGTTGACACATCTTGTCCTTATGGTATTTCTAACCTACTCTCTCTTTTGAAGCTCTTCATGTTTCCTGAAGGCACCAACTCGAGTCCTCATTCATTGTCACGGAGTAATCGGTTCGCGGAAAAATACAACATGCCCTATGTCGCATATACCTTGCATCCGCGTTGCACCGGATTCGTTTACCTGGCCACTTTGCTTGGACGCGGTTAGTGTTGATGTTGCCTAAGCTGCTGTAGTTCTGTGCATTATGTATGTGTGGCAGTTCAGTCCTTTCTCATCCTCAGAAGACCGTAAGCCTTGTTTGAATTCTATGTTACAACTTTAGCGCTTCAGATCGGCTTCATCGCTACCATTTTTCTATCTAAACTAACAATAGGAAATCTACCTACCCATGACACCTGAATGTGCCTTTCTTTCTCCACTTGGCCAAAGACGAGCGTGTCACCTAAATAAACAAAGTTTCTTCTCTACTATACGAAGCACCCTTTAGAGGCATTATCATGTGGGCGCAGCAGTGTACATTACGTTGATCACAGTCTGATCAGAAAAATTCTAGTGTTGATAAGTTAACTACAGTTGAAAGTACATACACATTGGTTATTAGCGGCGGTTAATAGCGGTGGGTGTGTTCTGATATTTGACAAAATAATCAGTAACTCTCTTGTAAAACGATAATACAAATCCCAAATAGTTAGTTGCGTCCCAGCGGTAGTACAAATATAAGGCTTCGAAAGGATTTCACAGATAAGTGGAAAGTTCACTCAATAACTGCAGGTTGTGTTTTAGTGTGCCACCGATTTGCCGTTAAATCAAAATCCTGCTATTCGCACTCTTCATGTCCCCCATTTTCAACGTTTTCCGTTAAGTTGTTAGCATGGTCCAGGAGATGACATACGGGAGCTTGATTATTCGATAGTTGAGTTATAGTGCCTTCCTCAAATTTCATCGAAAATGATTGGCAAGGTTGTTTTAAGCAAGAAAGGTTAAATTCTTAAGTACGCTTCCTACTAGCATCTACCTAAGACAGTTGAATGTCTCTTCGAATTCCTTCCACGCACTCTATACTTCACCCAATGCCGCTAACTGTCAGCTAGGCATTGTATCCTTTCCGTACTGTATAGTTCAACGACATGCCTGCATTCTGCAGGACATCACGAACTGTCATCATCATCAACATTATGCACGTTAGCTAGAGGTGTAAAACACAGCTACTGTGCCGCAATACATAAAAGGAAAAAGGAAAGTAAATACAACAGTCGCATGCCAGCTGAGCTACGAACGGATGGGCATCGTTCCGGAAAGCTACCAGCCGGCTATTAGGCAACAAAAAACTTATTATCTAACATTATATTATGCTACGAACTGATATCGTGGTTGGATGGGGAGACTAAAGGGATGGGGAGGGATAAAGCGACTCACAGTAGGAGCGCTACTGAGGTCGGCTCTTAACCATGTCAGCAAGTGTATCCAGCCAAACGTGTTCACCGTCTTTTGGACCCCAACCAGAGAGCCGTGAAGCTCCAACCGAGGCCAGCTCCGAAGTGAGGGCTTTCATTCCTCTTGACCAAGTCATCGCTTGGCCACCTTTCCTCTTCTTCCATTCACACCACCGGCGCGAAAACGACGCGGGAATCGGTGGGCTGTCATGCACAACACGTAGCCGAGCCATCGGAGCCTGGTGCGTGAAATGACTGCGCTGAACGGTTCAGTTCCTTCTTCTGTGCCTTAAACAAGGCGTGGAACACGCTCGTTACTCACACGGTGTTCCCTTCAGATGTGAGCCAAACTGCGAAGACACCGATGGTCAAACGTAACTAGCCTCTTTATGTCCGCTGATCTTAGGGGCCAGGTTTCGCAACCGTACAGTAAGGTAGGACGTACCCTTCAGGGCAAGAGTGATGTCGCGCCTGCGCCATAGGTGTCGAAAACTAACAAAAGCGCCTCGAGTTTGTGATATGCGGTTCGTGATCTCATTTTCGATCCCAAGGGCGCTGATGCAACTTCCCGGGTAGTCGAATTTCTGAACGACTTCTAGCTGATCCCCACCAAGGGCAGTGAAAGAGGCGGTCCAGGCCAGTCTTGGAGGAAATCTTTGCACTTCGATGGTACAAAGCAAGGCCCGAAGCGACTGACAGCCAGTGCTAATCTGTCCAGTGCAGCTTGGCATGTTTGTGAGCTGTCACAGATTAGTGCAATATCGTCTGCATACTCCAATTCAAGAAGTTGTTCACCTGAGAGTAGCTCCACACAGGTCGTGTCCTGTGAACGCGATTTCCATGACTTCGTCAATAGCGAAGTTGAAGAGGAAAGGTGACAACGGGCATCCTTGTCTCACACCGCAGACGATATTGAAGGACTGCAACAGCTTGCCCTAAGCCCTCGCTCTGCCCGTGCTACGCGCGTATAAGGCTCGAATTATATTTACATATCTCTCGGGCCACCGTTCCTTAGTAAACAATCCCAAAGGGCACATCGATCAACCGAATCGAAGGCACCTTTGACGTCGAGGAACACGAATACTATGGGCTGTCAATATGTGTGACGGTGTTCCAACAACTGACGCAAGGTGAAGATGTGGTCGATGCAGCCACGACCACGACGAAACCCGGCTTGTTCCTCACGAATATAGTTTACACCGTGGATAGTCAGTCTGTGAAGGATTACAGAGGCGAGTAATTTGGAGGCGATAAAGATCAGACTGATTCCTCTAGGGTTGCCGCATTCCGAACGCAAACATCCTTTGAAGATGGAAACAATAACGGAGCGGCTCCAGTCGGTTGGGATAGTCTCCTGCTCCCACAGTTTCACTAGTAATTCATGTGAATCATCAACAAGAGCAGACCCTCCGAATTTGAAGAGGGCTGGAGGAAAATCATCTGGTCCCGCAGATTTGTGTAACTTAAACAGTTCGATCACGTTTGAATTCTGAACGAGAGGGCGGATGCAAAGGGACAGCCTAGGGAGCAGGGCGATCACTGGCCGGTGAGGAATTGGGCAATTCCGGCCGATTAAATTGCTTTTCAAAATTCTCAGCCTAATGTTCCTAACGTTTTGACAAATTGTGGATAGGCTGTCCACTGTCGTCACAAATTGTTTCACTAACACCAGGTCTCCTGCTCCTTGTTTTCCGTATCAGACGGAATAACTTAAGGTGGTTACCAAAAGCAGCGGCCATTACTATCTCTGACGCACGAAGAGATAACCAGGATTCGCGGTCTCTTCAGGCTAGCACGAAATTTTGTCCTGATGTCATTGTGAGTCTCGTTGTGTTCGCTTCTGACCTTAATATACCGGTGAGCAGAGTTACGTTCCAAAGACTGGGTAGAGACCCTAAGTCTATTTTGGCTAATAGATTTACCACATGAGAATTTGCCTGCTGCTAGTAAGTTCTGCTGAACGTGCTGCAGCGTCTTGATAGTTTGGGTGTAATAGCCAAAGTTGAGGAGCCGACAGATTTGGTTAGGCAGGTGGCGATCCTTACTAAGAAATCTGGAGAACTACGCGTGTGCATTGATTCAAAGCCACTTAACGCCGCGCTCATGAGGGAGCATTATACGCTACGGACGCTAGACGACGTACTTCCGGTGCTATCCAGAGCTAGAATATTCACTAAGGTCTACCTTGCTTCTGCGTTTTGGCATGTATTACTTGACGAAGAATCAAGCTACCTGGCCACGTTTGGGACATCATCCGGGCGTTTCCGCTGGCTTCGTTTACCGTTTGAACTGAAGGCATCTAGCGAGATATTCCAAAAACGACTTGTGCAGGCTTTAGACGATTTACCAGGAACGTTCTGTGTAGCAGACGACCTTTTGGTTTTTGGCGCAACACGAGATGAGCACGACCAGAACCTTCACCGATTTTTGCAGCACTGTTTTGAATGGAACATCAAGCTAAAAGGAGAGAAGATCGAGTTGCGTAGGACGGAAATGTTGTTTCATGGACACGTCCTAAGCTCCGAAGGACTGAGACTAGACCCAGAGAAAGTCAGGTCCATCAAACAGATGCCTCCTACTGACGTGAAAGCCGTTAGCAGGCTGAATGGTATGGTGAATTACCTAAGTCGTTTCTTGCCCAGATTAGCCGATGTAATGTTACCGATTCGAAAACTGACGCACAAGAGTGAGAAGTGGCATTGGGACGCAGAGCAAGGGAGCATTTCGGAAAATAAAAGAATTGATCACGAGCGCCCCGTTCTCACTTAATACAACACAGCACTCCCGCTCGAGATCCAGTGTGACAGCAGTCAGTATGGTATCGGAGCCGTGCTCATGCAGAACGGTAAGCCAATCGACTTTCGCAGCCGGACGCTGACAGAGACCGAGCGTCGTTACGCGCAAATAGAGAAAGAAATGCTTGCATTGATTTACGCCGTGGAGCGTTTCAGTGACTATACTTTTGGCCGCAAATCCACCGCCTTTACCGACCACAAGCCCCTAGTGTCGATCACCAGCAAGCCGCTCCATGTTTTTCCACGCCGCCTGCAAATGATGCGTATTCGTCTGCAGCAGTATGATCTAGAGATTGTCTACCGGTCAGGATCCCTGGTGCACATTGCGGATGGGCTATCAAGAGCGCACCTGCCAGACCCGCCAGGAAAGGAAGCAGACCCAGATTTTGTCCATGTAACACAGCTGATAGCCGTCACTGAGGAACGCTTACACCATCTCCAACGATACACTGAGGAGGTCGAATTGTGTAGACTACTGAAGCACATGATCATGAACGGATGGCCCGAAGACAAGGTAACGTTACCAAAGGGGCTGACTCCATTCTTCCATTTTCGTGACGAACTCATTACTCAGGATGGATTAATATTTAAAAGCGACAGGATCGTGGTCCCAAAGTCACTGCAGCGTTCGATGCTGTACCTGATACATTGTGCACATTTAGGAACCAACAACTACGTGGCAAGAGCTAGAGAGCTGTTATTCTGGCCCGGAATAACCAGCCAAATACGTGACTACGTCTCCAATTGAGTAGCATGCAGAGCACACGACATACGCCAGCCAAAAGAACCGATGATGCTACGTGACGTTCCTGACGGACCCTGGCAGATGGTTGCACTAGACACTTTTTCTCAAGATGGAAGGAACTATTTGATTGTGGTAGATTATTTTCGTGACTACTTCGAGATCGGTACGCTTACGACGACTGATACGCAATCCGTGGTGAACAAGTTGCGCTGCCAATTCGCTCGGCATGGAATACCCGAGTTGGTGATTTCAGACAACGAGCCGCAATTTAATAGTGCAGAGTTTCGTGTATTCAGCAAGAAGTGGGATTTTCTTCACTGGCTAACCAGCCCATACCATAGCCGATCAAACGGTAAGGCTGAGTCTGCAGTGAAGGAGGCGAAGCAGGTGCTTACAAAAGTCAAGGAGACCCAGCAAGCTCCGCATATAATGCTACTGGATCGAAGGAATACACCATCTACTGATATCGGAGCGAGTCATGCACAGCGTCTATTCAATCGCCGAACAGGAGCGCTAATACCGACTGCTACAACTCTACTGCAGCCCGAGATAGCGCCGTCCGATGTTCTACACGACCGACTACGGAACAGAATGCTACAGCAAAAAACGTACTATGATCGCGGATCGAAAACCTCTCACCACTAGGTACAGGAGAAGTGTGGGTGCAGCCATTACCGGAATCCGGTGCATGCTGGCGGAAAGCAATGATCGAAGGCCGGAAGGGAGGGAGGAGCTATGAAGTCAAGATTGGGGGCAATCTCATTCGACAGAATCGGGTGCAGCTGCGAAGAGTGCGTCAGAAGTGGACACCGCAGAGAGAGGATCAGCAACAACAACCGGGGAGGAATACTGCTACTGAAGCCCAGGACATCAAACGCACACGAAGTGGTAGGCAATGCGGAACATACTGTAAGGTTATCCCAAAAAACGCAAAAGGAAAGGATGTGATGGGGCTGGAAATGCTGGTGATTGGAACTGCTGTAATGCCGCTCGAACGTCACAGGCCAGACCGATAGGGAGTGAGCATGTTGCCGGAATCAGATTGGTCAGCCAATCAGGAAATAGTTGGCCCGTGATCGCGTCCAGCCCGCAACCATTCACTGAACGTGAATGTGACCAATCAGGTGCCAGCAGGCAAAAGAGCGCATACTCGTGCACCCTTGAGCCAAGGCTTGTGGCATTGGACTGAGGGAAGGAGCGCGCGAGCCGAATCCCGTCAATCGTACACCCACTAAGAAACTCAAGGTGATTTGAGACAGAGTGAACGTGGCGAGCAAGGATAAACCAATGGAAAAGGAGCCAGCGACACAATGCAAATTACAAGGATGAGCCATTGAGACGGACTGTTGTAAATTGGGTATATACTCTATAAATATTCGAGCGTTATCTTAATAAGCGACTTCATGATCGCTGCCCAGTCTTCTTGCTTCCCGGAGAGCAACCGGACAGCGACCTTCAATTGTCTCCAGCGAGCGCTTACTCAACTCGCATCTCAGCGTATTTCAATACACCTTCAGAACAGCTGGCTTCGCCAGTTGACTGGTGTTAATGCGCTCACACCGTCATCGTGGGCGTCCCCGCCAAAAGGCATCCGCATGTCAGCGCATACAAGTGCATGGTCGGTGTCCACACATGTGCTCCAAATCGAGCGACAGTTCCTTACGCAGCCTCTCCATCGGTAACTGATTGCAATGTGATCGATTTTCTTCCAGGGGTGGTGGGCGCCATGTTACCCTCCGGCGGGTGCTGTGTCGCAAAAATAATCGGGCATCTTCACACCAATGAAGTAACCGCTCACCGCTACCATTACGAGAGCCTCCACCGTGTTGACTGCCCAGATGCAGTTCATTAGTGGACAACTTTCCAACTTGTGCGTTCAGATCCCCCGTCAGCAGTACAGTGTCCGTGCTTTCTCTGTGATGAAGTAGTTGGGTCAGTTGGCGATAGAAGTCGTTTTTTACCGAATCATCGCTAGAGTTTTGGGGCGCGTAGGTGGCGATGATAAACAAACCCCTATTAGTCCCGCGCGACTTCGAAGTTTGAATGATCCAGCCCATCGGACCACACACATCCGGCTACTGATTGGGATCCAATCAACCAGAGCGGCTTCAGCCTGAGGACTCAGGGCAATGCTAATACAAGCTTGGCCGGTGCTCGAAGCTGCATCGTCACCGGATAGACGCAATGTGAAAATACTGCTGCTGTCAACTGAAGGGGATCGCAGAGTGAGCACAGAGCTCTAGTCTTGCAGGTGGGTCTCTGATAAGCAGCAGATATCGGTGGAGAGGGTCTCTAAAGTTCGGGCATGTGCTGCTTGTTGACCGATCTGTAACAGTGTGCGGATATTGAGGCATTGCAATCTAAAGGAGGATTGAGAGCTCCAAATGGAAGCTTGGTTGGACATGGGCTTGTTGACAGGACAGGAGTGACGCTCTGCGTTTGCATGTGAGTTGAAACTAAGAGCTAAACGCCCAGCAATGCATGTTTTAGGAGGGCTAAAAATTGGGGTTTGAAAACTGGGGGGATAAAAGTGAAGTTGGAATGGGACGGTAAGAGTGGAGGGGCGTAAGAAGGGAATCCGAAGACGGGAAGGCTTGAGCAGTAACATCCAAACCCCTATCCGCCCTGCTCGATGCAGCAGATAGGGCACCGTTGATTATCCTCTGCGGGGGCCAGAGCATCAGAAATTTGTTTGAAGTGTGATTCATCGTATTGCATGGGCAGGATACTGTCAGATTGCCCAGGCCTAGACAGGTGAACGATTAGGGTTCTCAACCAAGGCCTTTGGTTCAAAAACCTGACCGCAAGGCAGTGGGTTTCACGGTGGGCTACAAGGAGTCCGTTTTAAGGAATAAAAAGCCGCCCTCATTCCAACCCTCAATCTGGAGGAGCAGGAGGCTGAGTTTGTCTGGCCTCTAACCATTGACCAATCTGGTACGAGTGGCTCTGGAGGTGCAAAAAGAAGCATCACCCAGCATAGCTCAATGGATCTGGGGCACGCAAACCATCGCACCACGCTTAGGTCTAGCCTCGATGCGATGGCATCACGAACTGTAGCTCCTTTTTGTTTACTGTTCTTCGCATGTCGTTGCCAACTCGACTGTTGATCGGTATTCTGATACACCAACAAATGTAGAGCCTCATCTACTCTTAGTGCCGCTCCGTAATCTTAAGGATAACAATCCGGCCTTCTAATCCGAGGGCGTGGGTTCGAGTATGCGTAAGGTCTGGGCGACGCTCGCAGTATCCTTAGCCTCAGACTTAAGGTGCCTTCAGTACCCGTACTTTTATATTTAACTTTGTGGCCTCTTGCATTCTCCTCTATTGGTTATACTGTCACCCTGTCAACTTCTCTAAACTGCTGCAGTAAGAATACCTCTTATAGGTACGATGGATAAGGCACGTTTCTAGCTGCTGCGACACGCTTAGAGATTCTTTGGTTGTTTTACTCATCCACTGCACGCTCAGTTTTCACAAATACTCTCTTTCTTACGTGTCCGAACTTCAAACTGTTCTTCCGCCCCTCATCGCATCGTACTACTGTATTGTCTTATCGATCACGCTTGTTTGTTGACCCATCGGAACTCACACACATGCCGCGCAAGCACTTGGTCTGACACTCGTGCATGTATTGCATTTTTCTCCCTACCTATGCATATTATAGTAATTTTATCACCCAGTCTGCTGACATACTGCGGATCTGGCGATAGCAGATCTTGAACAACCCTTCAGAGGTTGACTGGCCGACGTTGCACGGCCTGCAGCAACAAGAGATGAAGACGTGTCTTGCCAACACATGGACACTGGATGAGACGCAGAGAGCACTCGCTCAGCTGCGAAACGGCAGATGCGCCGTATTCGACGGGATACCACCTGGAGTGTTAGAGCACGGTGGATCCGCGCTGGTAACTGCACTGCACCGCTTGTTGCAGCTCGTGTGGTTTGAAGAAGTGCCGGATGACTTGAAGGATGACCTTGTGCTACCCCTGTACAAGGGCAAAGGCAACAAGCAATGTTGCACGAATTATCGTGCAATCAACTTGATGAGTTGTGTGGGTAAATTGATCGTCCGATTCTTGCTCAACCGTCTCGTCATTCCGATTGTTGAACCGAATGTGGCGGGACAGTAATGTGGATTCCGTTCGGGTTGTAGCACCATAGATAAGGTGTTGTCGGCCAGTTTCAGGAGGGATTGCACGCCTGGCTTGTGATTCTTAGGTCACCTGTTCACATTCGCGTAGCCGCGGGCCTCCTCGCGATATCTTCAGCCCACGTGCGACCGGTGGTGGTCGTGTGGCAGCAAAGCATCCGTATAGTGTGCCGGCGTAGTACTATTTTTTTTATGTTCGCGGCTCGTCATTTGCAGCAGAAATGCCGAGAGCTACACGAACCATTGTACTCGTTGTTTGTTGACTTCATCTAGGCATTTGACAAGGTGAACCGCCAGACACTGTGGCTGGTGTATGGTAAGTTTGGTTGCTCGATTATGTTTGTATGTCTAACTGAATGTCTGCAAAATGATGTGCGGGCGAGGGTGCAGCTGGGTGGGAAAACGTTGGATGACTTTGCTGGAGTTTCTGATGTGAAGCAATGCTAAATCTTAACCCCTGTTCTTGGTTAACATTTACATTCATACAATCACGTCTTGTGCTTTTAATACTGCTTATGATTACGGTGTCCGTGTGGCGCACCCTATTGTTGTTAGATTGTTAACACCCGTCGTTTCGGGACGAGAACTATGGCATGCGATGCAACCATCCCTATGTTAAAGTTTGCCTACGACTGTGCGTTATTTGCACACAGCGCGGATGAGTTGCACAACATGCTTAGGGCTCTCGCTTCGACAGTGCTCATGTTCGCGCTCCCTCTCAACATAAGCAAGATTGTTTCTCTTTTCCAACGTTTACTAAGAATGGAATTTGTTAATCTGCCCCAAATCCATGTTGTTGATGACGTATTGGAGACAGCATCGACAATTTGCGTAATATCACCCGGTTTGCAGTTGATGAGCGAGCTGCGCATCCGCGTATCGAAGGTGGCTGGTGCGTTTGACAACCTGGAGAACCGTGTGTGGAACAACCACCATCTTATCGTCGGAACGAAGCTGGTGCTATACAACTCTGTGTTGCATCGAAACTTGGGGGCAGCGAAACGTGGACGATGGAGCAGTTTCATCAACAGTGTCTGCGCATCGGTTAGTGCGACAGTGTTGCGGACATTGACGTGCTCCGCCGTAGTGGCATGTCTTTTGTGGACAGCACACTTCCGTTGCAACAACTGTGGTGGCCGGGTCGCATAAGCCGAATAAATTCGACGTGGATACTCAAACAGCTATTGTATCGATAACTTAGTGCATGGAAACGACATGTGGGAAAACCGAGGTTACGTTACCAGTACATGGTCAATGTGAGTTTACCACGAACTATTGTTGATTTCAGGTGTCGAGAATCAAAGGCACCTGCTTGGTGCGCATGGCGAGAGCGTTTCAGAATGGTGGTTGCTTAGGTACATGGGAAAGAACTGTTACATGCAGCGGAGAAACGCCGGGTACGAAAGCGAGAGACGCCGATGGAGCCTACCCCATCGACCTCAGGCCTATGGTGCTGTAGCACATGCATTCGCGAGTGCCTGAGCCAATCGGGCCTGTTAAGTCACCAGTGTGGCTACGCGAGACCGGCATCCAAAAGACGACGGGCAGCTGATTATCTAAGCATAATCAGCGCAACGATTGGTGGCTGCGCTGAGTCCGCTTCTATTCAATTTACTAACCGAGGCTATTATGGTGGTTTGTGTCGTGCGTGCAACCTCATCGTTGTAGTTGGTTCGTACGTGCTTCTGCTTGTTACGCTTCTTTAATTTCAGGTGTTGGTTGTTGCCTGCTATCTGCAGTGTGTCCGCGTTTGCTGTATTGACTGGGTGCCTACTTGTCTATTACCTACCATTCGTCTTTACTGGCTCCAAGGGACTGAAACGTTGGTAGGGTGGGGGTACCGGGTACCCGATCCTGTTGACGGCGCTACGCTCAAACAGTGGTTCCATACATCCAGTGTGAAACGGCCTGCTGCCCAGCCGCCGCCTTTTGTACCTCTGGTACGCATGATTCCAGAACTAGACACTAATGCTACTGTGCATGTTGGAGGGCCGGCTCTCATCCACATGCTTCTCGGACTTATTCCTTCGAGTTTACACTTCATATGTTGTTTGTGGGTGATGCAACACAAGCTACCCATGGTTCCTCTGTAGATGCAGGTGTCCTATGGCTGCCCCGTGGAGGCCGCAGTGACAGGCAAATCCGGAACTGGATGCCGCCAACCATCATCTATTATGTCCGCAGTGGTTGTCCAACTGCTGAAAATGAACCCATAAACATTCTTTAAGATTATTTTGTTATTCTCGGGTTTACGAGACGACCTTTCCGGTGTGATCAAATATTTAGAATTACCTCGTATATTCTTGACAGCGTGTTCCAAACGTCAGGCGGAAATAAAAATCGCATTTTTAACATTTATGGTTATACAGTTCAAAGCCTTGAATGGACACCGGATAATTCATGGTGTGCTGCCGGAAAGTTTCTTGTATGGACATTGCTAAGTTTTCTTTCCTTGGATAAAGCTTGCGGAGCAATTGTATGGTGATAAGAGAAACATCAAAGCATGGCTTTTAATTTGGGCTAAACATTTTTTTCTAACTTGTTCCGATCTCGCCCTACTTATTATATATTTTCATGCTATTATGTTGGCACTGAAGACAATACGAAATGTTGACATCTGCCAGTGTTCATCTTCTTGCGGATTCACTCAAATAACCTTTTTCTATACATTGTGAAGTTCTAAAACGGAGTTATGACAGGTAGTTATTCATTTTCAGTTCAGTAACTGTATATATTGGCAGAGACAGATGGAGTGGGAGGTCTATTCGTTGTGGGAGGCGGACGTGGCAGGCATTCGTCAACTGGCTCAATCATTTTGTTTTTACTACGCTGGGCGTAAGCGGGAAAGAGGAAATTTGAAAGAGAACTATTGGAACTAGGGATCAAGCTGTTGCCTTTACTTGAACTAGCACAACAACTGATTTTCGACTTTACACGTTCTGCACCTATCGTGACATAGTCTTGACATTCGACCAATAGCTTTCAGCACCCTCGCGCTAAGACAGTTGCTGGTTGGTACCCCTTTTCCATGCACCCAATCTGTGGTATATGTGTTTATGACCGCGTTTTTTTCATTTTAGCTGAACTCAAGGCCTTACTTATATTTATGGGGATTTTCCTCATTTTCATTGATATTCTCTTCTGTCCTCCATTCCCAGCCCGCTTAAAGTATATTTACGACGTTACCGTCGCATACCCTGATCATTTACCTTCTCCGGATACCAACATCTTCTTCGGTCAAACTCCCCGGGAGGTGCATTATCACGTCAGTCGTATCGAAGCAAGCGAACTTCCTTGGGTGGAAAACGCTATCACTGAAGAACACTTCGAAGAGCAGCGAGACCGCCTCATCTACTGGCTTCGATCACGTTGGTTAGCAAAAGAATCATTACTAAAGGTTTACTATTGTGAGTCGCTTTTCATTCTCCGTCTGTAGGTCTTTTCCCCTCTACTGGCTTATGTTGAATTCGATTGCTAGATTTTTGCGTTTCTTTACCATCGACTACCCCACATCATAAATTAGTACAACGGTTTACATGCCCCTCACCTATACTTAATAGCACTTTTTGAGTGCTTTTTCAAAGTCACTCACACCACACAAATCACTGACTGGAACTCATTCAAACAGTTTGGACGCTCATAAAAGTTACAATCAGATCGATAGCCATTTCCTCGAGAGATAACAATTTGGAGATTAATTTTCAGCCCACTTCGATTGTCCTCCAATATGAGCGCCACTAGTCGTCTCCGACGGTGGAAAAGTACAACTGTCGCTCACTAGCTCATTACCATTTCATCAAGCCAAACAGAAGTACCAACCCACAGAGCATTAACTGTCGTTGAGCGTGGTCGCAGATACGTCGCCTACTACAATTGAAAACCATGTGCAAGTCCTTTTAAGCTTCGTTCGGCTGTGTGATGGGTCTCCTTAGAACCCTTCCGACACACCTACCCTGAGTTTGCTCCGCGCTGCCTTGTCGGTTACAGCAGTAAATCAAACGCTCGTGTGAAATCCCATTCTAACTTTCATTCACCCTACTGCCTTTTGGATCAGCTTATTATGTTTGTTTTTTCTATCATTACATGGTGAGTAGAGACAACTGAATCCACCTCCCCTCGTTTCACAGATTGTAGTTGATATGTTGAATTGCACTGATTGACTTAAACACTTGGGTGGACGCCCTCGAGCAAAAGTCTTCATCCAGCTTAGGGAGTTTCATCTACCCATCCCTCGCCACTATACTTTCCTTTCTCTTCTCCCCTCCACTAGCTACCTGTGCTTCTCTAATTGATTAACACAGGGATGACCTCAGACTTCAGCTTGTGCTAACATTGTAATTAAAGCTTTTTACTCATACGGCTGGTGGTCTACACGCCTAGCTTGCAATCGTAAGGTCATCGGTTCTAATCCGCGTGGGGGCGGGCGTCCTCGCAGTATACTCAGCCCCCGCAGGACTGGTGGTAATCACGCAGCAGCGAAGTGCCGTTACGGCATACAGCTGACGATCATTCATACACTACTGTCTATATTTCGCCGCGCTCATTATTTGGGTTGCACCTTTTTTAATGATATGACATTCACCATATATTTTATACTACGATACATATCCATTCAGTATCCCAATCCTTTTTGTAGCTCGACCGTTGGGACAGCGTCGTTTTGACAACGAAATCCCTCCCCGAAGCCGTGTATTTCTGTACTCTCCAAACTCCGAATGTGTTCGGCTCGCTGTATTCGGCATGATCAACACAGCTGGCTGGTTCATCGGCCTCATCCTCTCTGTCTATTTGTTATACTCCTTCTGGATTGTGCGTCTGTATGCAATTGCAATTCAGTTGTTTCTCATCTACCTCTCTTATGCTGCCGGTGGCGTCAGCCTATGGGCCTCCAGTTTTGTCGATGGGCCTCGATTGTCCTGTCCGGTTGAATTCAACAGAGTCGAGAGCAACGCAGCTCTCATCTCCGAATAGTTTGCCTTTCTGGTCAACCTATTTTTTCTAGCATTAATCGCTTTGTTTTGATATGATTTTTCGCACTACTGCCTTTGATTGAATCTCCGCGGCTTTCCTATTTGCCCGCACTCATGTTCCTTTTTATTGTCATATTTTATGCGCGTCTTGGTAGTTTTTCCGCATTCCTCATCTGATCTATCTCCCCGGCATTTGTGCATGTACTCGGAATGTGGTGTGACTCGTTGACATACCTTAGCTTTTACCCCAGCTTCGGTTACCTTGTTATTGAACGGATCTAATACACCTTTTGTCCATCACTTCAACTTTCATCTCACATGAATCCTTATGGCACCATTGAAGTGTGAAGCAATAAGTTCTGTATGATTTCGGACTAAGAAATAGCACGCACAAACATAGGCTGTGAAATGTCTCGGTCCTTTCGTATATCCCCATCGACCACAGACATTCATCCAATGTACTTATTGCTAATTCCCACAACCTATCGAATGGGCAGGATATACTTCGGTGTACAATGTTAAGTGCGAGGGGAAATACATTCAAGTGCAATGCGATTTTGTAAAATGAGATATCCATCTCAGGCGATTGCGCCTGTGTGCAAGATTAAAGGTGAGCAACGATGTATCACGGATTAAAAAGCAATTGTTTGACAAGTCCCGTGAATATTATAAAATCAAAAGGTGTGAGTCATGTACCGAGCGTCTACCGAGTTGAATGTGTTAATAAATAACTCTAAAGATAAAGATTGGATGCAAACATTCAGACGAATACGGCGTGCAGTTGTCGTTAAAATAAAGCGTGACAAAAGTAAAATATGCTCGCTTACTCGTGTGCCGCCTCCAGGTGACACATGAATCCGGTAGAAGAGCATGACAAATGTAAACCATAGCATCGCAGTTTAACTAACAAAGCGCTGGGAGATTAGAATAACATCCGATCGCTTTTGGAAAATGTCCAAAGTAAAGGAAAATACAACTGAGTCTGGGAGTGCGTTCCAGGGTTGGCAAACACGAAGAGAGAAGTAATTCCGATGACATTCCGGACAGTTGTATTGTTCACTCAGTTCCAAACAGTTGCCTCTAAGCTACGTATTTTGACTAACTTTCAGCAAATGGCAGCATACGTGGTTGGGGTCACTCGATATTTGGGAGCATTCCATGTATCAACTTTTGGGATCCTAGTCGTAGTACATTTAAAAACACTTCAGAGCTTGGCTCACTTCTCAACATTATTTTGCTCAATCACCGTGGAATCACCAATGAATGAAACAGCGATTTCCTTCCTAAGGTTACCAACCTGCCGCCCATGTTGTGCGGTGCCATTCGAAATGTGGGGCAAATCCGCTCACGTAACTAAGTGTGGTGAGTATAGCATTTTTCAGTTCTGTGTCATTCAACCATTGGGTTAAGGAAAGTTTATCCACTTGCTTTCCTCTGTCAAGTACTTAAAAAAGAATCCCGTTTTTGTAGTACTGTGTTTTGGGACGCCCAAATCTCGTAACATTCTTTCTAGTATGCGACAAGCGACTGCTCTCTGATCCGTAGTGGAGCGCTTTGCGCCTTCAGTGGGCAAATTTGCTGTAGCACTACAGTGTTATCGCAAATCGAATCAGCGCTCATTTACACAGTTTTCGGTTACATGAATCTCAGTTATTGGGCCAACCGTATGCTTCGCGGGCCAGCGATATCACATGCTCTGTTCAACGGGTAGGTCAGGTAATTATACTGCAACTTGCTGGAGCGCTTCATTTTGACGGAACAATGAGCTGGATTCTTGGTGTCAACCTGAATTGCACGGCCGTGTTTGTTGCAAGTGGTCAGCAAGCTGTTCAAGCGCAAATGTGGAGTGGAAGGTTCTATTGGGGACGATGCAGTATAACTCCATTCTCAAAATTAATACACCTCAATTCTGTTTTATACGGATACATTCTATAGCGGCCTGACGATTCCCTTGTTCTTCCGAAATTGATTTGCCATGTACCCGTGGAATCTTCGGTGTCCGCCTGTATGATATTGTTTGAATAACTCGGCGCACGTTCGTCTCTGCTCGAATCGCCCTCGCCTTCCTCTGCGTTGCTGCCGATTCGAAAAGGATCCCTGGTTTATCGGTGTCGTCTTAGGTTTAGCTTAGGCAGCCTGACTTGGAATCTCTAAATAAACCATCTTAGCGCTCGCCATCGTGGCATCAGTCCCATTTGTGTCGCATCCAAACTACTCGCTGCCCTACTCTAGCGGAGCTTCACTTTCGGACGGTAACAGCACGTGCGTGAACAGCAAGCTGGATTTCGTCCGAGTCGCAGTTGCTTCTATCACATCTTTACAATGCGCCAGATACTTGAACATCGCCATACGTTCAGTCCGCCAACTATAGTCATATTCTTGGATATCCGAGCTGCGTTCGTCTCGGCTGACGGAGTGGCTTTTTGGGACTTATTACTGAAGTGGGGAGTATTTGAGAACCATATCAGCATTCTCCGTGCCATTTACCATCAAACTTCGGGTCGCATGCGAGTATACTGGGACTTTTCGCCCCTTTCAGTATCACTAGCGGTGTTAGACTGGGTTGTCCAGCCTTCATTCTTGTTCAACTTCACCATGAACGCGATCCTTAATACCGCTCTGCAAAACACCTGCCTCGTTGAACTGCTCCCTGGTGACCGCCTTCGGGACTTGTAGTATTCCGATGACATCGTTGTGATTTATGAGCTTTACCATGCCGCCCAGCGTGTTCTGCCTAGACTGGAGATGTCCACCTCCCAATTCGAGTTGACCTTTGCCCCTTACAAATGTAAGGTTTGGTCAAGTGCGTCTTCTTCTCTCACCCTTTCAGGGCATCCGCCGCAAGTGGTCGACAAATTCATTTATCTTGGGAGTTGTCTTAGTATTGGCGGTTTGACGGATGAGATCTCCCTGCGTATCTCCAAGGTTAGAGTAGCTTTCGCTAATCTTCGTCGTGACCTCAACCTCACTCTCAAGGGACGGGTCTACATTAGTGCGGTACGAGCCATTCTGCTGTACCCCTGTAAAACGGCCCGTTCTCAAAAGTGATGTTCGGCGACTATATGCCTTCGATCACCGCTGCCTGCGAATCATTGTTGATGTTCAATGACAGCATCACATCAGTAATGAGGAAGTCCGTCGACGATTCTTCAAATCTGACCAACTCTGCCTACCGATTAACAGCATCATTTCACTACGGAGGCTTCGCTGGTTTGGACATGTGCTCCGTATGCCTACTCAGCGACTACCACGTGGTGCCATATTTGCTAGCACAGGCGTCAATTGGACGCGACGACAAGGAGGCCAGTGTATAACTTGGATCCAATGCGTTAGAACGCAAACGTTGAGTCTGGTTGTTTTTGGGTCTTCCCGACTCCCGGGTTGGGGTCCAAAGGACCCCGAGCAAATCTGCTTGCAAGCGCTACTGGATATGCCCAAGGACCGTACGCAGTGGCGCACTTGCTGTGAGACTCTTCTACTGTAACAGTCGTTTTCCCTTTTAATCTACTTTTTTCCTATGTGTTGTGGCACTCAGCCAATTGTAATGTAATTGGTAGTGTTGGATATATATATATATATATATATACATATATATATATATGGTTGGCGGCATCCGGTTTCGGATTTGCCTGTCACTGTGGCAAGCCACAGGACGCCTGCGCCTACGGGGGCACCATGGATGGCTTGCGCTGCACCACCCACAGCTCCAACCACATACCCCATATCCAGTGTAAACCCGAAGGAATAAGACCGGGAGGCATGCGGATGGGAACCAGGTTTCATCAACGGAGCCGACCCACACTCCTTCACAGCCAAACACAAGCACGCTGTATTTGGGGAATCAAGCGCACACAAGGCGGTGGCTGGACCGTAGTTCGCTCCACACTGAGTGCATGGAACCGCTCTTTGAGCCTAGCACGGCCACAAGAACCGTGCACCCCGTCCCCTCCAGCAACGACCAACTGTCTCCTGGAGCCAGTATGAACGATGTAGTGGGTAATAGACAGGTAGGCACCTTGTCAACATACACATCAAGCGCAACCATACCAGGGATACCAAACAACACTCAATCACTTTAAACGACAAGCTGAAATAAAATAAATCCAATAATGCATACAGATACGGTGGCATAACTCTTCGCTAAATTACCATATGAAGTAATTTGGTTAGTAACAAATCCGTGATAAGTAAGAAATGTCCACAAGTTACTTAAAATGCTACAAACGCAACGAAATTACCGAAGATAAGCGCAATTTGTGTAAGCAACGTGGCCAGTTAATAGAACATTATTCAGGGAGACAGAACAAACCAACTTACACTTAAACTAGGTATTTTTAAGCGGGATAAATTTCATTCCGCTATATATATATATATATATATATATATATATATATATATATATATATTTAGCAGCGGTGGCATTCGGGAAGCTTGAGTACCGAGTGTGGTTCAACCACCAGCTTACCGTCGACATAAAGCTGATGGTGTACAAATCCACGGTGCTGTTCGTTCTTCCATACTACAACGAAACTTGGACGATGAATTGGCGAAATGTGAGATATCCCGAGCGGTTTCATCAACAGTGTCTGCGACGGATTATGCACATCGGTTAGTGCGACAGATTAGCAGACACGTAGGTGTTGCGCCGAAGTGGAATGTCTACATTGGACTGTATACTGTTGCTGAGACACTTGTGGTGACTCGGTTGTGTGGGGCGTATGGATTCGACGCGGATACCGAAACAGCTCCGGTATGGCCAGCTGAGTGCAGTGAAGTGGCATGCGAGGAGACCGAAGCTTTGTTACCAGGACATGCTCAGGGTGCGCCTATCACCTTCTAATTTGATTTCAGATCTTGGGAGTCGAAGGCACTTGATCGGCGTGCATGGCGCGATCTGATCACGAAGGCAGTTGCCGAGGTGCAAGAGAAAGCCCTCGTTCATGCGGAAAAGAAGTGGCAGTTGCGGAAGCGACAGGCGCCGATGGGGTGTACTCCATCGAC